TCAGGGTTGTGAGATCGAGCCCCGGGTAGGGCTCCATGCTCAGTGGGGAGTCAGCTTCTCTAACTCTCCTTCTTCCTCTCCCCCTTCCTCCGCTCATGCTCTGTCTCTCAAATAAATAAATAAATCTTTAGAAAACAAGACAAAACAAAAAACACAAACAAAAAAGAATGATATGTATTGAAACATGTAAAGTGCTTGGCACAGGATCTGGCACATGCTAAAAGTGGATTATTACCACCATCCTTGAATGCCTTTGTGCTGGGGCAGATTGTTCCAGACCAGGAAGTCATCAGGGGCTGTCCAGTCCCTTTGTCTGCACTAGGGGCCCCTGAGCACAAACCCTGCTGTCGTTGTGGCTGCCTCCATCTTCAACATCCCAGCAGCAGCCCCAACCCCAGCTCCACCACCCACAACTCCACGGCTTCAGGAAAGCCAAGAGCTTACTTCTCTGAAACATGGGGTGGTCCCGCTTTAAGAAAACTCACTCTAGAAACCAAAAATCAAAAAAAAAAGGAAAGAAGGAAAGAAAAAAGAACTATTTATAGTGTGTTAGCAACAGAATCTTTATCATAAGGTCATGGTTTTTTATTTGCCAACGAATAAACCAATCAATTCGCCATCACTTTGGCTGCTTGGGTCACTAACAATGACTCACCTCACCCCATTAAAACAAAATCCCACTTAAAAGAATGAAGGAGGAAAGATAAACTCAGAACACTGCATTGTGCAGCCCTGAATGAATGGACAGATCCACGTGCATCCTCAGTGGCTTAACTGGCATCATAAGAGAGAGAGCCAGGCAGATGTGTGCCTCCTGATGGAAGAACATAGAATCACATCTGCATGCTTGTTCCCCCAAAAGAAAAGAGGAGCACCTGGGTGGCTCAGTTGGTTAAGCGCCTGCCTTTGGCTCAGGTCATGATCCTGGGGTCCTGGGATCGAGACCCCTGTCGGGCTCCCTGCTCAGCCAGGAGTCTGTTTCTCCCTTTCCCTCTGCCCTTTCCCCCACTCATGCGAGCACACCCACGCGCGTTTTCTCTCTCTCTAATAAATAAAATCTTCCAAAAAAAAAAAGAAAAACCCCCAAACCTATATCAGATGAAGCTGCTAGATTTACTTAATTTACTTACAGGAAATATGAAAAGCAGAAAACAATGTTGAAATACACTAAACACACACAATCGACAAAAACCCCAACAGTGAGACACTCGGCAGGACCTGGGATCCAGTTTCCTCCGATAAAGAGCAAGAGAAAAATAAAGATGAGGAGAGAATCTTACAGATTGAAAGAGACTTAAAAACTCAGTCACCAACAGCAATGTGTGGGCTTAATCTGGATCCTGGATAAAACAAAGTGGAAATAAAGGTATTGATAATATTTGTGATTCAACCAGAAATTTGAACACTGGATATTGGATGATATTAAAGAATCATTGGATGTTTTAAAAAAGAGTTCTTATCTTGGGCGCCTGGGTGGCTCAGGTGGTTAAGCGTCTGCCTTCGGCTCAGGTCATGATCCCAGGGTCCTGGGATCGAGTCCCACATCGGGCTCCCCGCTCAGTGGGGAGCCTGCTTCTCCCTCTGACCCTCTCCCCTCTCATGCTGTTTCTCTCTCGCTCGCTCTCTAAAAAAAAATAAATAAAATCTTAAAAAAAAAAAGAGTTCTTATCTCTTAAATCGAGCAATACATTGTAATATTTATGGCTGAATTGATATGCTATCTGGTAAAGTCAAAGGAGGGCGGTGCCAGTGGCTGTGGGTGGGGCAGGCCTGACCATGACGGAGCCCGCTGGTACCGGGTGCCTGGAGACACTGTGCTATTCTCATCTCCTCTGTGTGTGTTCCAAACCCTCCAAAATAAAAAGTTCATAAAGAAAGGCCACTCATAACATTTCAGTTTGCCCAGCCACACGTCTGGAATCTGTCTTCTGTATCCCCAGGGTCAGCAGGCTAGGATGTGTTATTCCTGGTTCTGGCCTGTTCTCTGCATCTTCCACCTAGAGAAGGGGCAAGCCTAGTCTCTTGGGTCAAGGAATGAGTTTCCTGAGGCCTCAGGGCCTGGCAATACTGGAGACTGGAAAATAATTGGATAGGTGAATTCTCTGATACACACTACACACCAAAATCTCATCTTAGGTGAAAGATAGGTTAACCAGCAGCTATTCACATTTCAAAAGGTTTGATTGATATAAAATATAGCCAACATTTTTTTTAAATGGCCTGATTTACAAAAGTTGGCAAGCCCGTAAGATTCCATCTGATGCACAAGTCAGGTGAGGTTTGCTGACTGGTCTCTGAGAGGTGCACCTGCTGTTAACACCTAATAACTGCACGGGAGAAATCTAAGCAACACCCTGACCCTAAGGGACCACAAGCAACTGAAGGCTCCTTCTCCCACTCTCAGGCTTGTTTCTGGATCTTCACCTGCCCACCCTCCCCCTCCCACCTTGGTCAAGGCCACCAGAAGTTGCTGCACTGTGAAAGCCACAGGAGCCTGTGTGGAATTTCTTCTCTAGGCGGCATCCCCAATGGCCTTACCCAATCTGGATGACAGAGCAGCCTCCTGACTTTGTACCTCCCACCAGGAGAAATCCACAGCGAGGCAGCTTGTCCAGGCCCTTGGGGCCACCCACCCATGCAACTGGATACATATACTTTGTAAGCACTGGTTTCCAACAGATAAATGTAATCAAGGTTTATATGCTCAGAGAAGCCAACAGGATGGGATTGTTTCACTTGAAAGATCAGAAGAAAATTGTAACTAATGTTGTGGAAAATTACTTTGATATTGCTTTCTTGGTACCGAATCACAATTAGGCTGCTGTGAGAAGTACAGGGAAAGAATAAATGAATAGTAACAAATCAACACAAACAGCCTGTGTCAGGAACACTTTGCTCAGGGAAAGTAACATAAGCATTACTTAAAGTTTTATGACTGTGTTCGAAGTGATTTACGTAGAATGTCAAGGTTGCCCATCCCCGGCCACGTGGCGAAGGGGGTCCGGCTCCATTTACAGCCAGAAGAACACGGCTCAAGCCTCAAGCGTGCCCATTGCACGGGTCAGCCAGGCCCACGCCGTCCCCACTGCAGTGGGATATGTGCCTAAGCTTCGTGTCATCCTCTATGCCCTTCGGAGGCTCAGAGCTCCTTCCCCAGCTCGCCACTCCACCCCAGAAATCCCAGCCATCCTGTGGGGTCTGGCCCTACTGGTAATGGAAAAGATCCACATGCGCATGCGCAGGGGCAGCTGGGCAGGGGCGCATGTGCAGAGGCAACTGGCTGGTGTGAGGGGCCGGAAGACACGAAGCGCAAGCGCTCTGGTTTGCTGGCCGACTGCGGCATGGCGGGGCACGCGTCCTGGCCTCCAGGTCCCAACTCTACCCACGTGTGTAGCATCTGTCCCTGCAGTGTACCACGGATGAGTGCATGGCCCCTGCCCAGACGGACACAGACTCGTGCCTTCTCTCCCAGGCTCGTCCCACGGAATGCAGACCCTGGGCACAAGGACCCTCTGCCCGTGGTGTGCGCCCCAGCCACACACACACACCAAAATGGGCACCAAAGAGCCATGGGTCACCCCGAGGATACACCATTCACCCCAAGCCACATTTAAGGGCCCCTTGTTCAGGACCTCATTTCCATACAGACACCGCACACGTGGGGTGGGGGGCGGACGGGCGGTGGCAATCTCAGCCCGCCTGACAGCCCTACCCTACCGGTCGGGTTCTGCTGACAGAGGGCCGCCAGCCACTCTAAAGCTCACATGGGGCTGCAAAGTCCCCACAGAGGAGCCCACTCAGTCACATATCCTTGCTTCTCCAGAAGCCAGGGAGTAGCCAGACCCACCTCTGACAGCCACTAGCCCTGAGGGCCCTGCCCGGGCAGCCCAGGTGTGAGTCAGTACCAGTGACTCACCTGTTGTCTCCTGGGGTCCCACCACCTGGCTGCCTCTTGCTGATTCTTGATGAAAGAATGAACTCATTGGCCTCCTCACCCAGGGCCTCTGGTAGGAGCTGCCAAGCCAACGGGCCTCATTCCAGCCTCCTGCTGCACCTTCTGACTTTCTACCTGATGCCTCCAGGCCTTTAGTCTGTGCGTGGGATGACTGAGCCAGCCAGAGCCGAGGGTGGGGCTGGGGAGGGGGCTGCAGGCCCAAGTAGCCGGGGTCCCCTCCCTGAGGGCCAGGTGCCTTACGCTGGGCCCTGCTCTTCTGTAGGACGGTGCAGGAATCTCTCTCCCTAAACTCACAGCCTCTACTCCTCCACATTATCCATGTCCTGGAGCTCATGGTTGTCTTCACAGACTTCCCCGCTAAAGGCCCCCAGGCCCACCGCTGAGAGATGAGTGGGGGCTGTGTCTCAGCAGCAGGCATTCTGCCTGAGCTCCCCCTCTCCATATTCTGCCTGCCTGAGGCTCCAGAACCATCCTTCCCACTTTCCCCTTGCTGGATCCCACCTGTCCTCAGCAGATCTCTGCAAGTCAGGAAGGGTGCTCCCCTCCATGGCTCACAAGGGACACGTGGGATACAGACAGCAGGTGGGGGCCAGCAGGAGCAATCTCAGCTTCGCAGAGGCAGGAAGTACCTTGACCCCCTCTGCCCAGGCCAGAGGGCCTGGATTCGAGGGGTCCCAGGGCTGGCAGAGAAGCAGAGTCCCATGGGGGGGGGCATGGGCTCAAGGAGAAGTCATTCACCCTCTGATACCCCAGACCATGTGGGAGAGGCCGCAAGAGATGGCAGAATCCTCCTTAAGCCTCAGCTTCACCAAAGGCAACAAGTGGATGAGAGCCTGGCTATCATTTCAAGAGGAGGGCACAGGCCAGAGACCACAGGCTAGAGTTCAGAGGCCAGAGGCTGATGCCCGCCAGGAGAAGGCCAGGCCCCCTCCTCTGCCTGCCGAGGCTCTCGGCACAGACTTGGCACCGGGGCAGCCACGGAGGCCTGCACTTCAGACAAGAAAGCTGGGGCAAGCGGGCACCAGGGCCGAGCGCAAGGGCTCACCTGGCAGCTGTCGAGGGGCGAGCTCCGTGGGGTCCTGCAGGCTGATGAAGAGGAGGAGGCCTGCGGCTCCAAACAGCAGGATGGATGAGAACATGCAGGCTAGCCGCATGGTTCCGGCTCGCGGGGTCATCCAGGGCTTGCTCTGGGGTCACCTCTCGGGTGTGGGAGGTGCGTTCTTCCCTCATCATCCACACCAAGCGTCCATCAGGCCACGGTCTACAGGGCAGATGGGGAGAAAGAGGGTCCATCACCGAGGCACACAACATCCTGTGCGGGCTGAGGCCCCAGTCACTGCCTGTGACCAAGCATAATCCCCGATCCCTCCATTCTCTAGAACTTACTCAGGTATGTCCCTTCCACCTTTCCAAGCCCAAGGAGGCTGAGGGAAGTCTAGTCACCACCTGTAGCTGGGACACCAGCTTCCCAACAGGGACTCCTGTATTTGCACCCCCAGAAAAACCACGGAGACAGACACTCTCTGGACTCTGCCTGGGGGAGCCCAGGGTGGAGCCCCAGAGACCCACAGCCAGTAACAGCCCCTGCACTGTCCAGGCCCTCCGAGCTTCCAGAAGAACTAGTGTGCTCCCTATAGGGGACCTAGGTACAGGCCCAGCAACTTGAGTCCTTGTCCATTACAAGTGGCCTGGTGGACAGAGAAGTTCTTGGATCCCTCTGCCCTGGCTCCTCTCTACAGGATGCTGGGGACAAGTGTCTCCACAGAGCAAGATGCTTTGGGAAGGAGTCTCCTAGGCCCAGTGGCTACCAGGGACAGAGAATCCCCCACCTGGTGGCTCCTCTCTCCAGCCAGAGCTGTGTCTCCCTGACAGATGGGTGGGCTAGCGGAATAGAGACCCCACTGGCTAGTCAGCTGCGTCAGGGGGACCGAAGCTCTAAACAGATCACAGCTACTCCCGCTCTTGAGGCCCTCGGGCCTGGAGCTGAGGTAGCCAGACCTGCGTTTGACAGATCCCCGGCTCAGAGGCTGGTGACAGCATCCCTTGTGTTCCTGCGGATGGACACCTGTTGCTCTGGTCACTGCCAACCCAGAGCATGCCCAGGTGACTTGCCCCTCACCCTGGTTCCTCCTGAAGGGCAGAGCAAGAAATGCCAAATACCCCAAACACCAATGAGTGACTCCAACTGGGCCAAGCTGTGGGTCAAGATGGGGGCACCCCGAGGCCATTTGCTCATAGGAAGGATGTAAGTTCTTGCAGTGGGGTGAGGCATGGGTGGAATGGGACAGGCGCTGAAGAGGGATCTGCACAGATAGATGGGCAGGGATTCCAGAACTCCCCCTTTTAGAGGAAGGCCGCTTTGTCCCCTTGGCTTCGCCCATTCCCACTAGTCCGGGCGCAGAGATACCACCCTCTCTCTACCCAAAAGGCCTGCGGAAGCTTCCCCAGCCCTGACACAGGACAGCACTGAGGGAGGTTGAGGCCAGGTGGGCAGCTTCCAGCAGCCTCTGAGATCACAGGTGGGTGGCTGGGACCCCAGACCAGATGCGCTGCTTGGCACAAGGACATTTCCCTGCTTGGGGTCTCCTAGGGCATAGTACTTTGGTCGGGGAACCCATTCCTGACCAGGCACCCAGGCATGGGGGAGGAAGCCCCAGCTTCCGTCCCTCTGTGTCCTCATGCTCCTGGGGGGCACGAGGCAGGAAGTGGTAAGAGTCATTCCCTCCCCAGCCTAGACAAAAATTCCCGAGGTCTAGACTGTTCTCAGCAAACCTCTGGGGCTGAAGAGTGTTAAATTGCAGGTTTGGGTTTCTCCCCCCTGCAGTCTCTGTAATTATGTTTTCACTCAGTTAACTTTAATTAACCTGCCCCAGGCCTCTATGCACGGGAACACGCCTGAGCACAGGGCTCTCTGGGCTGTGCTGAGCAGGTGGTTCCCACGACCTCCCAGCTTTTATGTTTGGGAGGCAGCACGGAGCAGGGCTGTTTTGTCTCGAGCTGGCTCAGTTTGCCATTGGCCCCGACCTCACTGCAACGGCCCCCGCCCCAAGAAAGACAGCTGCTCCTGCCATCGCCAGGGACACCCCTGCACGGGGCTTGCAGTGGGTAAAATAGGCAGCCGCATGTCCCCAGAGGCTCAGACCCTGAAGTCTCTCATGGGGCCCTGTGGCTTCTCCCTCCGTGGCTGCCTGGGATGGGACTGTCCTGGGGGCCTGGCTCATCGTCCTGCAAAGACACAGACATAGCGGTGCAGGCACCGGGCCCCACTGAAGGCAAGGTCACTCTCAACACTGTGTCCTTCGGTCTCCCAAGCCCTTCCCTCCATGATGACAGGAGTTGTGTGCAGGGGCCTCCAAGGCCAGCCTCAAGGTCTGAGGGATGGTGGGGGGGGCACGGAAGCCCTCCTGCCCCAAAGCAGTTGGCTGAACCCCCAGGGGTGCCCAGACAGTCACGGAAAGGAGTCAGGAGAGTGGAAAGAGTGTCACATACATGGATTCAGCAGGGACAAGACCCTCAGACAGGGAGCAGGGAAGGCAGCTCGGGGCCCTTCCAGAGCAGACGCACAGGCTCTAACACGCATACATACGTGTATGCACACACAGCACACACATACCATCGACAGTCCCCAGCAAGGCCCCAGCTGTAAAGAAGGTGCCACAAAGCCCTGATATGCGGGCTGTGGTGGTCGCACGCTGCCTACAGCCGCGCTGGCCTCCTGGGTCAGACATGAAGCCAGCAGGCGAGTCTGACCTAGGGTGACAGAAAGAGAGGGGAAGGAGGGGAAAGAGAGCAGCAAGTTTATGGCTACGGCCCACCGCTGCCCAGTAAAACAGCTAATAAAGTGCCACCTGATCTCGGCCCAAAGGCTCTATTGGATGAAAAAAAGGGGGGAGGCTCAGAAGCATGTGCAATCCAGTCCCCTCCTCTCCACTGTCACCGTCCAAGCCAGTACAGACCTCCCCTGTCCTGCAGCAATGACCAGTCCTCACTTGTTTCTGAACCTACCCCAAACCCAACCCCCCAGGTGGAGCCAGGCTCCATTAGCCCTTTTGCCTGGGAGCCAGGATGAGGACCACATCTTTGCCCCCAGATTTGGGGGTGGGGGAGAAAACCAGCCCTAGGACCTGCACCTTCACTGCAGTAGGAGCATCAACCATTTAAGTGTCTGGTCTCAGAGACGCTCCTTTTTGTTGACACCCAAGAGAATACAGCACCATCTCCATTTTCCACATCCAGGGAAGCTGGTGTTAGAGGCGTGCGTGGCTCTCCCTGATCCTCCTAAGTATCAGACCCCAGCCTTCCCCTCGGATGCCCCCCGCCCCCGGCTTAGTGTTTGTTCTCACTGCGGACCATCTAACCAGGCAACTCCCTGCTATGTGCAAATGGAATCAAAAGGTGAGCATGCCTCCCATCCTGGGTAACTGGCTTGCAGTCTGGCTGGGTTCCCCTCAGGAGGGGGCCAACATCACAGAACCCGTAGGAACCTCCGTCCTTTAAAGGTGGAGGGTAGATAAGAGATCACCCGACACTCCAGGGAGTGTGTGTATCTGATCCCCTATTGTTCCCGTGAGGGTCCTTGTCTTCAAAGTCACATGTTATTTTCAAGGCAACGGGGAGATGCTGGTCCAAAGGCTGCTTGTCTCTGTCTCCTGGGAGTCGAGCTGCTGCCCGGGGAGTGGACACTATGATCTGTCACAGGCCGGGGCCAGGCTGCCCATGGCCCCGTAAACACACTCACGGGCCTCTGCTCCCACTTGGGACTGTTGCATCCTCACTGCACGCTGCATCACACTCAGCTCCACTGACAAGAGGGGCCCCCCCTTGCCTCCCTGCCTCCCTTCCAGGACCAACAGACAATATGAAAATTCAAATAACCGGGGGCAGAGCCAGGAGGAGTAAGGCAAGAAAAATAAACAGCCCACTTAGTTTCCAGAAGGGCCTGTCCTCACAAGCCCTAGTTTCCCCAGTGGCTTGTTCTCCCTGAGCCCTGAATGGTATCACCAATTTTTACTGTAAGAAAAAAAAAATGCAATTAATCTTGTAAACACCTCCTGGGACACAGGTCAGAGCCAAGGATTCCTCCCATTTCCTTATTTATCTGATTTAAAAATTTGTCTCTTGGGAAAATTCACTTTAGGGCACAAGCAAGGACTTGGGAATTCAGCCCAAACACACGCACCTCCAGTGGCGACAGGCCGGCAGGCGGATGGACGGATGGCTCCGAGGTCACGCTTGGCTGCAGCTGCTGCAAGGCCTGGATGCTTCCCCCAGTCACCCAGAGGACCCCCTCTGGCTGTGAGGACCCACTCCCGTGCCCCACTGGAGGCAGCTGGAGGCGTCCGGCCATGTGCCCATGGGAGCACCTACTTGGCGTGTGGACCCCGGGCCCCAGAAAGTTCTCTGTCCAGCCAGTTTCCTCCTTGCACAGGCAGGAGCGAACAATGACGTCCCTCCCGGCTGAGGGCTCCAGGAGGAGCTGCTCATCGGGAGAGAGGCTGCTATGGCAACTTGAGGAGAATGGAGCCAGGCACTGCCGTCACCTTGAATCCGGCACCAAGCATTCCGCCGTGGCGGCACAGGGGCCTGCACCTCTGCTCAGCCCCTGCCGAGGCTCCTGCGATGGCGCTGACCTCCCGCCTTCCCTGCTCAGCCTCCTGGCCTCAGTAACTCATTTGCTCCTCACTGAAACGGAGCACACAGCCCAGGCCCCCGAGAACACCACCTCCATCTGTTTTGTCAGAAAAGTTCTTCCGTGTGTGTGGCTCCTGCTTGCTTCTGAGATGGGGTTCTTGATTTCAGCTCATTAAAATCTTGCAGCTAATTAAAACCGGTTCTAACAGCGGCGGTGGCAGCAGCAAACTCTGGGATGAGTCCCACCAGTTTTTATGCGTAGGCATAAAGTTGCAGTGCTCTGCGAGGGTGACAAATGGCTGCAAGTGCTCACTGAGGCAGGGCTGCAGCCTCCTGCCCTGCCCGATGTGGGAGAGTGCTGACCTGGGTCCTGAAATGCCCAGGGCCCAGCCTCAGCACACCCTAGCCCACATGGGTACGCCCTACCTGCCATACTCCTCCCCATTACAAGGCAGGGACTCCCTCCAATTCCCCATGCTTTCTGCTGGGTGGGAGAAAGGGAGCCCCAAGGCAGAGGTCAAGGCATAAATCAGGCTTAAACAGCCCTGAAGCCTTGTCCCCACAGATCCACTAGGCTACAGCCCAGCTTCCCACCATTGCTTACACAAAGAGGCTGAGGGGAAGCCTGCA